AAGTGGGGTTGTCCTGAACCGTCACACACGGTGGTGGCGCTGGTGGTAAGATATTGACCGTGATATCTTGAAATGTCCTTTGTCGTGTCTATTGTGTCTAGAATTGGTGTCTCGGTCCTGTCATTCCCTGCCGTCATCGAAAATGGTCTTATTGCGAATGTGTCAAAATATATTGTGATGAAGCCACTGTGAATCCTCGTATCCTCGGTCCATTGGATCCACCGAGTCACAAGCATCTCACCCTCATTAGGTGGAAGATGATGCACCTCATTCTGTTTCTTAGTTGTATCCTTGTCACTAACCTCCATACTGCCATGCTCAGTAAAAAAACAACTTGACTCGTTGGTCAATTGGAGGCGATGTGCTCAAATTTGTGGCATTGGAAGCATTGTCTAGCTGTGATTGTAGTAAACGTGCTACTTTTCTTAGGATTTTTTTCACTAGCGGTGGCTTTATCCTTATCCAAACTAGTTTTCTCAACTCCCTAAGGTGTGCTCCTGCTGGTGTCTTTAACTGTGGATAATGGTCTGATTGGTGGCGGTTAGCTGCGCTGTTTTTGTTGCCTTTCCACTTTCAATGCTAAGGTTTGTATATCTTCAAGCGACCAATAAGGTTGCAACTGTACCGCATTGCTAATAGCAGGTTATGGGCCCCCCAGATAATGAGCTATGTGTTCCTCTGACTTGACCAAACCGAACTTCATTTGTAATTGGTGAAACTTTGTCGCGAACTACTCCACTGGCAGGTCTCTCTGCTGCAGGTGGAGAACTTAGAAACATGTCCTAGCAGTAGTGGGGTGAGAAGTATTTCTTCTGCATTGTTTTCTTCATATTTTCCCTCCTGTAAATGTTATCACTGCATTCTCTTTTCCTCTGACTCGGCAAGTTGTCCCACCACAAGGAGACACTTTTTTTCAAGTTGATAGCTCCAAGCTTCGCTCTCTTATCTTTTGGCACCTCTCTATACTCAAATATTCTCTCAGTTGATTGTAACCCTTTGATGAAGTTGTCAGGATCCATACGTCTATCGAACTCTGGTAGATCCACTTTTATTCTAAAGTCTGTATCCTCCATATGTTGGCTCTTCTCCCGGCCTCCTCTAATATTGGATTCCAAAGCGTCGTAGTTGATCTTTTGTATCATTAAAGTTCTTCTGATGGTAGGGTTCTAGATTCTCGTCTCTTGCTCCCATTCGACTCTCCCGATCTCGGCTGAGGGTAATCTCCCCCTACGTTTCATCCTCCATGCCCGCAAGCCTCCGCTGATGTTGACAGATCTCCTGATGTATCTCTTCCTGGGTAGGCTCAGATGTGTATCTTTTTGGTGGCATGAGTATGGTTCAGAGTTGGGAGGTGAAATAGGGTATAGGAGAGTAATTTTTGGTCTCAGAGAATTAATTTGGGGTTGTTGATTTTTAAAACCAGTAAAGAAAATTATGTTTAGGTCAAAATTTGGCTATGGTTTGAGAATAGGCAAGAAAATTTTTGGTGGAGGGGTAAGACAAATGCTAGGAAAACATAGGATATGACTATGGTTAAGCTAGCTCTGATACCAAATGATATCAGATTTAACCCAAACCACAGTAGAAAGATGAATATGATTGTTGAAATTAAAAAAAAAATAGTTACAAACAAAGACTCTTAACGATAGGAAAATAGCGACACAAACATAAAAGACCCTAGGGCGATGGCGAATGGGGTGGATGATGGCGGGGCAGCAGTTACAGGGGCTGATTAAGGGTTGCGACTGCAACTGGAGGCTTGGAATGACGTGGCTGCAATACTGGAAGGCCAGGAGGGACGAGAATAGCAAGACAACAGGGAAGAGGGTGGTGGCAGCTAACTGGGAGCTAGAGGGCTAGCAACATTGGACTGGAAGGGAGGGAAGGTCTTGCCGCAACAGTTGGGGGTGTTGTAGAAGTGGAGACAGCAGCAGGGACTAGGGAATAGGGTTGGCTTAGTGGTGTAAGCGAGTCAAGCCGACTCGTGAACCAGCTCGAGCTCGACTCGATAAGGGGC